CGTTTTTGAGTCTCAATTTCAATCATTGCTACCACACACACACGCACACACATACACATCACACATTAAATTGAAATTTTTTCTTTTTAGGTGTTAATGGATGCACAATGCACTGTTCCACAATTGCCATCTACCATTTTTTACTGTTAAATCATACTCAATATTGAAAAAGCGTAACGAGAAAAAATATTTGCTCATAATCGAAACTATACTGATCTATGATACTCTTACATGCAGACTTCCTCATTTATTAAGACTTGTAGATAGATAAAAGGAAATAAGCACTATCTACCTAAAAATATGTACCTAATATAAGAATAAGAAAAAAAATATATATAAAAAATTATTGCCCTCTGTTATGGTTAAATTGATGTAAGAAAACATTAAAATATTATCTTGATGGAATTCTGGTTCGAACAGTATAATTTCACCTTTAATAGTTTTCTTCTATTTTTTTTTTGTTTCTTGAGATTGTAATGACCTTCACCATCACAACTATAGAGTGAAAAGAATAAAAGTATTAGGTAGATAACTTTTCCTGTAAACAGACAAAGATTCTACAAACTCAAGTGTTCTAAACCAATAAGAATATAATAAACAGCTGTCTAATATGTACGCATGTTGGCTCATAGCCAAATATAACAAGCATATATACATAGATGATGTAGATGTATGTGGTCTTCGGTTATTTTTTTACTCTTTTTCTTCTCTTTTTTTTTCAACGATGTTTTTATATAGTCTACATATAGTCTATATATTTCTCTACCCTCGAAAGAGAAGAGATCCATGTACAAAGAAAAAAAAGAAAGCATCATGTTTCGCACATGCAACAATTGTATGTAGTTTTGTGTAGAAAAGAGCAGAAAGGAGAAAAAAAAAAACGGATGAAAACGTTTGACAAATAAAAATGAGAGGGAGAGAGAAAATGAGATGCATAGATTCTCTACTTTTTTTTTCTTCTCGCTTATGTTCTCACAGCTGACAGTTTTTTTGTATCCTCACACATAAAAAAATAACGCGAAGTGCAGCGAACACAACACAATCAACGTTTTTTTTTTTGATAATAAACCATCATCAAACATCGTCTGCATATTAAATTAACAGCACATGAATCTCAGAAGACATAAGGTAAATTTGATGTTTTAAATATTAAACACAAGAGAATAGACTCAAATTCGTTTTGAATTTCAGAATGATAATAATGATGATAATTAAACACTTCTCGTCTCAGCTAAAATTGAGTTATACTTGATAAAATTAATTAACAAATCCGTTTCTCTGAGATCTTCAGCAAATAAATTGATTTATATCCAACTTCTCGACAGGTTAAACAGCGACTCTCTCTCTCACATCAGTTTGTTTATGAATACAACTTGGCATAATAGTTGTCTAATTGTTTCTTTTAAATAATGTCACTTCATGAACGAGGATGATGTATACAAGTTCAGAGTTTTCGTATAATCGACATTTATGTGTGGATTCAACTGACTAAAAATGAAAAAATTTCGAAAAAAGACGATGGTTTTAAGGTTTTTTTTCCATCGCTTTGACTAAGCTATGTGAACTAAAGGGAAAAAAAACATATTAATTCTGATTGAATAAAAATGTTGACAGTACAGCCCTTGTTCTCTCTATTTTCAAGGTAGGTGAACCGGATTTCACCTTTGATTTTTTGTTTGGAATATATGTGCGTATTTTCTTTTTTTTCATGTTTATACATGTATAAATGATTAATCGTACTATCCCTCGATTTTTCCTTTTATTTTCTCTACCTATGTAAAGATTTTTTAATTATTTTGACTATGAATAAGAACGAGAGATAATGTTAGTGTTGTATTAGTGATATGAGCATGAAAGATTTACTTTTGTTTCTAAGTTACATATTATTTTTGGCTGATGACTTACACCGTTGAAGATTAAAGAGACTTTGGCAAGACTTTATGCTCTGGAATGAGTCTCATAGTTGCTGAATGTGTTTGATGGCGACTGTCAACTAGGTTTTCATCTTGTATTTATGACAACAAATGTCTATAGTGTTCATATTCTTTGTTAATATAATTGAATCAAAAATAGATATTTCAATCGATTTAATATTGATGATCATGTTACAATTAAGAGAAAAGCTAGGATGGCTGTTGTCCTCCCTCTTAAAAACTCATCATCGGTATTGCGCTCAGTTTGATGTTTAAAAGAATTGAGTAATGTCGTGTTTGTTTATCATATATCTTTCTCATCGATTAGTGAATGTAAAATATAAGCAGGGACTATTAAGTGTTCTATGTCGATGTACATAAAAAAAGTTATCCTGAAATGAGAATAACATTAACATGATTGACAAATTGATTAACGACATTTATAGAAGAAAACGAGAAGATAAGCTACGTCCTGTACGATAAGGATTGAATCGAAATCAAAAGGTAGGTTAGTAAGGTGTTTTCTAGGCATTAGAATCATAGTTGTTGCAGAATAAAGAAATCAAAGATGATTTGACCTGTAAAACATTCAACTTTTAGCTTGGAAAACACCGTGACATCTCGATTTATGGCTAAAACTCGGTGTCATTGTTTCCTTTTACATAGTGCAAAGCCTTTCATAGACATGAAATAATGAAAAAAGTGAAATGAATTAATAATGAAATCTAGGACATCAACGAAAGAAAAGCTTTTAGTCTGCAGCTAAGTTTTATAAAGAAAAAGGAGAAAGAGACACATGAATACGCATGAACAATCAAAAATAGAAAAAAACAAAATTGTATATATATTTTAATAAAAATTTTCAAATCACGTACACTTTCATAGATATATCTGACTAATTTTTAAATTATAAAACTAACTTGTACCTTAGAAACTTCAATGTAGCAATAGAATTACATAACTACATCAGTATTAGTTTTTTCTTATCGAATCACATCCTTATCAATTTACGCTGTTTAAAATTTTCTATTTGATGATTGTTAATAAGAGAAGGTGCTGTCTCTCTTACCTGGATGTAGAAAGCACTAGCTAGTCGAGCGAATGTTTTACTCTTTTTTGAATTTTATTTTAATACTATTGATAGAAATTTGCCACAGGTTTTTCAGAAAAGAGAGCACAGAAAAAATAGAACGAATGTCAGATGTTTTTTAACATTTTAACAAAAAATACACTTGATGATGGAGACATATACCTTATCACGTATCCAATTACCGAGAAAAGATCTAAAACAATGGAGATCAGGTCAGAATTGATTGTAAAATATGTATACTTTTTACCTATACGCAAATTTCGAATCAGCATGGACTTGTTATCGAATATCATTTTTGTTTTAAAGTTTTACCATATGGATTTGATCAATGGTCACTTTTCTCTTTCTCTCTACAAACTCAAACATTTGAGAACATTCAAAGAATAGAATATATTTTTCATGGGTTAAAAAACCAAGGTCAAATACATGTTGTATTTCTCTATGTATACTCAGTTTTTCTTTTTTCTAACAAAATTCGTGTCGTTTTTCACACTGTGATAATATGCCATTTGGATAGATGTACATTTCTGATTATTGCTGTTTCTCTCGTCATCATTTTCTACTTTGATTTTCTCTCACCATAAAAATAAAATTAACTTCTCATTCACCATTAAATTCTTTGTAAAATGTCAAATAGATTGTTATAGTCAAAAGTCTCACTTGATAATCGGAATTGGCATTGATACTGATATAATCGGAATAGCATCGAATATAACGGGTTTGTTTTCATCTCAATATCTTTACTACATCAATGTCGAAGTTTTCTATTAGCTAAAAACAAACTCTCAATCATAAATCGATTTTAATACCAAGACATATATAGTAAAATGACATGATTAAACTAATCCTTAAATCCAATTATCTTATTTAATAAGATTTTGAGACTATCAGTCAGGCATGATTACGAAAAAAGCAAGTGGATTTAAAATATTTTTTATTTGTTGTTTTTAATGGATTTTTCACCTGCTACTGAATATATGCACATCCATTTGAATATTCTTTTAGAAACTTCTTTTTGTTTGAAAAATTTCTTGTACTTTCTATTTATAAACTGTCATGTTTATATATATATGTGCATAATTTATATAATGTACGTTTTCTCAAATAGATTTAAAGAAAATTCAATAGATAATGTTCGCAGCACTTTTCAAATATCAGCAAAGTTAAACGCTGTTGTCTATTGTTAAGATAAAAGGCGAATTGGCTTAAATTTGGTATTTTCCACGAGATTGATTTATAATGTACGCGTCACCATTTACTTTGCGCGAGAGAAAAAGTGTAAAAACCCCCATTACTAAGGCCATGACATTTATGCATGATTTAGTCGTTTTAGACAATGTTAATGATGGGTGCGAGAAACTTATTAAGCATCTGAAAAAGAGGATTAGTCACATGCGCATATAAAATTTTCCTCTTTATATATTTTTAGATTCTTTTTTTTTTGTATTTCTTATTATTTATTTTTTTTTCTTTATCGTACCTGGAAGCGAAAATTCTCCTATATGGATCTCTATATATAGCTCTATATATATATATATGAAAGAAGAAAAATTATCTTTTCAAAAAAATAGGCCTTTTTATATATTCAATTGCGTTTGTACACACACTCTTCTGCGAAATTGATATCGGGTCAGTGGGATAGTATGTGAGAAAGAATAAAGAATAAGGTCTACGTCATCTAGCTCTTCTTCTTTATACATGTACAAAAGAAAAATTTGGTAATGGATAAGCGTTCTACTCCCATTCTTATAATGTTCCTGTTGTGAGGAAAAATGGATGACTGATTTGTTGTTAGTTTAAGGTTTGAACATAAGGTCTCAAAATAGTCTATCTATTTTTCCATCTAAATCTCTCACATACACAGACGCACACGCTAGAAAAACGTTTTTTTCCATAAAAAAAAAAAAAAAAAAAAGAAGAGAAACGCAAAAAAAACAACCAAGTTTTTCGGTTATTTTTTTTCCATCGGCTCTATAAATTTTCTTTTTATTGTTAAGATGAGCCAATCAATATTGGCAAATAAATCAGATGCATCATTTTCAACAGCAACAGTAAGAGAATCTATCACTTCACCAACATCTCCAGCAACAACGACACCGATGATAAAAAAAACACCTTCACCTCGTCGACAAACATCAAGAACTATAAATTCCATTAATAATAATCGTACATCACCACAACCACTGAATGAAACAACAACCACTAATAGTGCACGTGTAATTAAGCCGATAGCTGTTCGACCATCAGATTCTGTGCCATACAATCTCAGAAGTCGTTCAAAATTAAAACCAAATGATCAATCAAGATTAATACCATCGTTTAATGAAAAATTATCGTTAGGTAAAACGTCAACAGAACAATCATTGAATACTTCGCCTTCTGCTGATGATGAACAACAAAATAGACTTTTATCCGTGCCTACAACTTCAGTATCGAATGAAACAGTACAACAAAAGTCAAATCAAAAACTAATATCTCCACCATTCACTCGATCAGCTGCTGCTTCAGCCGGTGTCAAAATTGACGATTTAGTTGGTTTATCGACACCTGTGTCGTGCGAATTTACAGTACCAGATGTGCCATCTGTTCAAGCAACGACTTATGCAACGAACATCACGAATACGACTAATAATAGTGCCAGTATGAACGTAACAAAAACAATGCGAAATCAGCCTCAAACACAACAACAGAATCAACAACAACAACAACAACATGCCGTTATGACACGTTATGCAACACGTAAACGTAAATGCGAAGATGATCATCGACCATATTTAGATTTATTGAAAATGAAACAGGTATGTGTTTTTCAAATAGAACAGAATCTTCTTGATAATAAGCTGTTAAAATCGATATCTATTCGTTTCCTAATTATTAAATTGTCTAATAGGCCAGCATAATTCAGAGTTCTTTAACTCATTTAATGTTTGAGCACCTTTGTTACAAGCTCGAGCACTAAATATAACATAAGTATGCTAATGTGATCTAAAAATGTGATCATTCATAGCTTGCTCATAGTCAGTATATGGCTTGTCGACATTTTAGAGTAAAAGTTAACATAAAAAAAGTCATTTTTTCATCATTTGAACGTTGAAAATGTTTATAATGCATCCATATGATTGTGAACAAAAGTCAAAAGTCGTTTGTTTACCGAAATTCATTATGTTTGAAGAAAACTTTAATCTATTCAATCAGCATATTACATAAAAGAAAGTTATTAAATTTTTTGCATTTGACATATCATTTGTATGTAGAATAACAAAAGAAATTTGAAGGCAAAAGGGTTTGTTTTTAGAAGAGTAATAGGGTTTCTATATCCACTGCTGTCCAACATCGAAAGAAAAAAATCGATAAAAAGAAAAGTATTCTTATTCAACTTGTATTACTATGCGAAAATTATTATTATTATTTTTAATTACGGAAAAGAAAAGGATCAACTATAAGCGAGTTAAGAAACTTGAAATAAACAGAAAAATACTGAAATAGTCATCTGTTCAGTTGCAACCGTTAAAAACATATGAGTCGCATGTTTATAATGAACGGTAATTAAATAGTGGCATGTTTGGGTGTCAGCTAAACATGTTTCTAATAAGGTTTTTGTTTACCATATGTCTAAGATTTTCTATAAGACCCGCAGGGTTTTAATCAAAATCAAATGATCAGTTAAAATTAATACCATCATTTAATTGAAAAATGAAGCTTAGAAAACTATGAAACATGCACATAATATATGTAACGTAATTATATTTTGGACTAACACACTGTCTATGAGTGAAATAACCACACATTCCTATTTTCTTTGCTTGTAGATATGAAATAGTACATAGTATCAGTTAAGTAATTTTCAAATATATAAAAATTTGACAGTATATCTCAACTTTTGGATTCAGTCCAGACAAGAATCTGAAAATCATTTGAAAGACCAATTCATAGGAGAAGTAGAAAAGAAGAAGAAAAAAAACTTAGCAAACATTTTATTTATCTGCTTTTTTTTGTTAATGGTGACAATTGTACGATTGATTCTTTTTATTCGTATGGACGTTGAATGTCTGTTAGCTATATATAGAAATTTTTTTTTGTGATGGTGTTGTCGTTGTATGATAATAGGCCTACGTTATATGACAAAAAAAAAAAGAGAGAAGAAAACTGCTATATTGATGAGTGAGTGCATGCAGTGGTGATAAGAATCTCTCCCGTTCATTTTGTTGAATACTTAAGTGTCCTGCAAATCTTTTGTCTTTTTTTTCTTGAATAGAAGGGGAAAGTTTGTTTCCATAGAAAGGCAATTATTATTTATAAATTTTTCATTGAATTCTGTATGTACTATTAAGGCACGATAATAGCTTTTTTCACATCAAATAAATCACATTCCAGCTGAATTACTGACAAAAAAGAAGAATTGGAAAAATTAATACAACACGAAATTTACTCTTTTGTCATTAATAAAACTAGAGAATGGACTCTATATCACAAAACCAATAGAGCTTTTGATTTTGGATAAAATATGCATTTTTGTAGAAAACACACACACACACACGCAAATACAGAACAAGCACTATAATTTGTTTATCAAAGTTCACCAAATATCTACTAGATCATCACTTTTTTTGATGTAGAATACTTAAAATTTAAAAGAGAAATTTATACATCACTGATGAATTTAAGTTGAATAGACTGATGAATTTCTAGTATACAATTTTCTGTAATATAGATTATAAACTATAATAGTATTTTGAATTTTGATATTTAATTATTAATAAATAATTATTAATTTGTGGTTCATACGATAGACAATTCAAATACACATCAAAATTAATTGTATATTTATTTGTTTTTGTCTAATTTATATTTTGTATTTAAAAATAAATACGTGACTTGCTGATTAAAAATTAAAATCGACACAATTAACAGACACTTTAATGTCGCCGATATATATTATACAAAATAATACAAAACATGATCTAAACCTCATTAAATTTAGTCATTGATAAATGTACAGATAAATAGTAAAAGAAAGGAAAGCATTATTTCATCAAATGTCACTGTTCGTCTGCTAAAATGTGAATAAATGAATAAATCTAGACCACTTGTGTGTATGTATTGTTTGAAAGAAACGAACGAAATTTGAACTATCGCTTCTGTTTGTCATTAATCTTTTAAAAGCGTGGGAGGGGGGCCATCTAATAGTTCGCTAGTTTTTATTGATTACAAAGTTAAATTTACCATTGAAAAAAAGATTATTGTGATAAAATGATAATGCATAAAATATTGCTGCCATATTATTCTTGAACATTTTCTCTCTACATTGCCTGATATGGTTAGGTGAAAATCTCGGTAGTAATAAGTTTGTTGCCGAGATAGTATATTTTGATCGTTGTAATCAATTATCTGATTCGCTTTGTTTTACTTTCTATCTTCAATCAGTTTAATTAGACGTTTATTATGATTGTTACATTACTTAGAATTTTTCTCTACAAATATAAATGACATATATTTTCACGTGGAAATTAATTTTATTTTTTTTACTGAATGACATACAAATTAAATTAATCAAATGAACTCTATTTTTTAATAAGTTAGTGTTTGTTACAAAATACAAGAGTTCTTGAATAGTAGATTTTTACTGAAAAATAAAGAGAGGAACAACGGATGTTGTTGTCACATAGCCATTTTTATTTATAATTATTAAATTAAATATTTAGTTTGAACCAATAAACATGCTGAATAAATGGGTAAACATCCCATTTATGATTGTATCATTAATCGAAAAAAGATCTCATGTTTCTGTTTTTTTTTTATAATACATTCATTTTGCAATAATTGATTTTATTCCTCATTAGATATCTTTGTAAAGATATTGTCGTGTGAATTATTAGATAAAACTTCTTTTTTTCTATCTATACAATAAAATTTTTGTGATCAATCTAAATTAGTTTTGATAAATATCGCACTTTTAGTCAAATATTCTCTTTTCTTACTATTTAGACTCAATCGACATACAGTTTTGGAGAAAACAATTCTCCAAAAAAGGTAAATAAGTTTTGATTTTCAGCAATTTTTCTCTTTTGTAGAGAAGATTTAGCTGTAAGTGAGTAAAGTATATAAAAAGTGTGAAAATTTTTGTTATAATTTTCTTTTAATTTCTATGATGATAACAGTCAGTAATTTTTCTTAAAATAATTACCACATCGGGATTATATCAGCAGTCATACACAAATATATATGAATAAAAAGGCGTGATACAGACACACATCTATGTTCATGCCGATTTCTCAAATTGGTAACATTTTTTTAATTAGATATCGGTATATGCGTGTTTGTTATCGTATAAAGATCACAAAATAACTATGTTTTGAATAATGATCAAAAATAGAGAAAAAAGAGGGGTCAAAATGTAAAAATAAAACTACTTTATAAAGCATAACATAAAATATATATATATATCGTTTCATTTCATGAATAAGACTTTAAGTTAAGTATTTTTCGAATAAATGATGTCAGTAACCATTATTTATTATTATTTTGGCAATATTTTTAATGAATATTACATTAATAAGAATAATATTAATAAGGCATTTTTTTTATTTGGACTATTTTTTGTTTCTTTTGTTATAGATAACACAATCAATGCGTCATCAAAGTGGTCCGTCACGCGATCCAGATGATGAAGACAGCGGATGTGATTATGATTCTCCCGCTCATTCGCCAGTTGAATTTACCGATTTACCACCACAACAATTTGAAGATAGCAATATGAGTTACGATTCTGGTTTTTCCGCTGGTTCCGGTGATCGTAAATATACAGATCTTGATATTACTGAAATTGAAAATCATTAAACATGTATAAATCTATCTCTTCGTTTATGGGGGTTTTTTTTGTGCTAAACATGAAAATTAATTAAGAGAATACCATCATCTCTGCAAGAAACTTCCTTTTTTGTTTTCTATTTGCCTGTTGTTGTTGGTTTTGTTACTGTGTTTTTTTTTTCGTTCTTTTTTTTTTTTTCTTTCTTTTTTTCTTCCGTGTATGTTTTTCGTCTATCGGCGATTATTGTAATTAAAGTAGTTATTGCAGAAAAAAACACGTAGTACTAGCATCTTTTTCCGAA